TTTTTTTTTTTTTTTTTTTTTTTTTTTTTTTTCAGAAACACTCAAATGTTAAAAAAAAATCAACGGTTCAAGCGAACCAGAAAGCAAGAAGGAGAGTTTACTTCTTTTTAATTTAGTTTTTCTGCTTAGTGAAACATTTTGTCAACAGATTAAACTTCAGTAACTCAGTTTCGTCGTAATTGTTATAAAACTTCTTGGTTACATGAAACAAGAAAAAAAAAATGAGGGAAAAAGGGGAACGGCAGTAGCATTGTAATGTTTGCAATCATTATTTAAATAACACATATTGAAGAACATAGAACCATGGGTCAAACGAGGCAGATGACCTCAGTGTCACAGAAATTCAGAATTGGTAGTATAGCTAATCCATAAATGGCTTACAAAAATGAATAAAACAACGTTTAATATATAAAGGGGAATAAGCTAAAATTAGTGCACTAGTAAAGTGAACTTTGGCTTCTGATAGACGTTGAATGAACAGCTGAATTGTTGTCTATACGCAACAAATGAAATGTGGTAGACGACTCTTGGAAAGAAAAGTTGCATGGTGATCTTTAAAAAGGTCCTGGAAGACATTGCTTAGAGTAACTGTGAATGCATCAAACTGTATTGATGCAGTTGGTTGGCCTCGAGAATGTCGGCTCAAACCTTAAACGTTTTTCTTTTGTTTTCTATAGTTTAACCTCTGTACGTTAATCAGTGTAGCTTTAAGCTGTTAATACTTCAAATATACGAACTCAGTCTATATTTGGCAGCGGTACGAAGTTTTGTATGCCTCGCATCGATTTATATGATTGTTGACCTGTTAAGGCGCTTGGTAAAAAAGGACGGCAGACTACAAGCCAGCAACAAAGAATATATCTTGATTTCTTTTCACTCGTTTCACCAAAGATTTACTTCAGATGTTATACTTAATTTATGAAGAGATTCCAGGAGACTGACTAAGTGGGTGCTGGTTACTATATCTGTATATGGATTCAGTCGTAGATTAATGGTTAGAAATTATTTGCTGTCATTTTTTTTTCCCCTCATAAGGCTTTTTTTCCTTCCTTCTATTTATTGTATAAACGGATTGTTAGAACACGGAATAATGTAGTAGGAATATTACGAGGAAGGTCAAGCAGTGAATAGATAGAAAAATACTGCAAAATTTACACGAGGCCTATGACGTCTCAATAATCGATCAGTGATGCTTTTAGAGTTTTCTGATGGTATTTATCTTAGTGATCATAATGATCTTCAACAACATCTGAAAGAACAGTGTCAGGTAGGCTGAGGCTGATAAACAAAAAAAACAAAAAGTCAAGGCTTTTCCTTTTCCTGTCCAGTTCCGATTTTATTCGGCAAGGGCTTAACGGTAGAAAGGAATGGGAAAAAAATCAGTTTAGAGTATACACATAAACAAATGTTGTGCAATATTGCCCCCGGTAGCGCAATAGTTATTTATGCGTGTGTTGATACGTTTAGTGAATAAAATTGTTGCTGTCCTCTTCCGAACGTAATGCTGACTTCGTCATTTGTCAGTTTTGCTTTCTGCTAGCCTGAGCTTATGCATGTGGTATCTTACACGTGGTTAAATACTTATATTTGCAGCATGAGCACAGATTTTCAAGGCTAAATGTTGACAATCCTGATGGTATTGATGAAGTATTCTGATTCATCGATAAAGTTTTAGGGCTTAAAAGCAGTGCTTCCAATCATTTGCATCTTTCGGCGTCATTTAGTTTTTAAGGTAATATTCAGTAAAAATTAATTGTTCTTTAAACTGTCAAAGAAGTGAATTTTTTAAACAGTTATTTTAATGCAATGATTAAAGACTATTTTTATCTTTCTTCATTTTCGTGTTTTTTCTTGTATGTTCAGGACCCTTCATGTTATTTTTCGGTGTCTTTTTTTTCGCTATTATTGAAACTGGAAGAAGAAAACTGTCCAGCTGTTATCAGTGAATGGAAGAAAAGGAGAGTTACCTGCGGTCATTTAAATAAACATTTTTTTTATTTTTTAGTGTTGCTAGTACGTTATATTCCAACTAAACTAGTCATATTTTGCCAGTGTTTTTACGTTTTACAAGTCTACACAATTCTTAAATAAATTTGTGTATATCCTTTTTTCGTTGCAGTTGTGTATCGTTGAAGAGACGGATAAAAAACGTTGCTTTTCAGTTCCATAGTTTAGTTTCTTTTTCTTTCAGGGTAGTTATTCTCCGCTGCCATAAGTAATTTATATTTGGTCCTCCAATCTTAATTTCGGCTTTGGTGGTACTTTATTCATTTCTGGAAGAGACGTTTTTTCCACTTCCATTATTCTTTGTGTATTTTATAATTTTTTCTTTTCATATTTGCTTTCTTTTTATAATGTCTGGTGGGCTTTCACTAAGTAATTGCGTCTGGGGTAGGAAGAAAGACGTGGTTGAAAATCCAGTAGTTTCTTTTGTTGATATTATGAGTGAAGAGCTAGCCGAGCAACTCGACAAGGTAATTTTTTTGAGCTAAATTTTAATGCCAAATATGTTTTTAAATATAATTAGCCAGTAATCGTAGAATTTTTATAATTAGTCTTTTTTTCTATTGTATTGTAAACAATTTTTTTTTCTTTTCAAACAACTAGGGATTTTAAATTTCAGGCCAACTTAGTCGATTCGTCTGCTGAGCCTACGTTAGACCATTCACTGGCTGGATATGGCTTAGATGCATCTCTTTCTGGCGCCAGTGATTTGGAAATTGCGCGTGCTTTACAGGAGAAGTTTGATTTGGAGCAGGCCGCAATTTTGAGAGCTGAAGAAGAGAGGAGAGATCCTAGCAAAGGTAGTAATTGTTATTTTCCTAATTATTTTTATCAGAATATTATCATTCTTTAGTAAAATTGGGTTTTCGGCATTTCGGGGAACACTCTGAATCTGGTTGGGATGATCAGGAAGTTGAAATTGAAGATGAAGAGGAAGAACGTGCTCAGTCGTCATGCCACAGATATGATACTTGTTAGCTTTTTAAGATTAAACCTATATTTCTATTCGCGGTTTTAACATTAATGTTTAATCCAAAGCAAAGAATTTTTTGGTTAAGAGGTACAGGAGTGTTTGCTGGATCAAAAAGCTACTATTTCTCTTAATTCCGTTATCAGTTGAGGGAATTCGCAGTTGGTGCTTCTGTAAAAACTAGATTTCAAATTTATGAGAGAATATCAAGTGTTTTCCTTAAAAGTAGCATCTTTTTAATTAGTTTTGTTTTTGTATTGAAAGCACTGTTGTTCGCCAGTGGTTATAAAAACTGTTTTAAGCTTCTTGAGAACAATGGTCTATCGCCTTATTTCTAATTAGAAGAATTTTACAGTTGTAAAAAGTGAGTTTCCTTTGTGTGGATTTATGAGGGATTCCGATGGCCATTTAATTACGAAACATGATGAAGAAATGACGGGGAAGTGCAATATGGATAAAGTATTAGACGTAAGCTTTCTCTTCATAATTTTTTGGCTGTTTTTATTATAATATTCGATAGGATTGTCATGTAAGGGAGTTTTTTTATTAGTTTACTGAACTACTGAACGTTTAAAGATTTTGAATATAGTTGCCATTAAACGTTCCAACTGGTGACGTTGTTGGTGAGAAATTGAGCAACAGGGTTTATA